CAAGTTGCCACATGATGAGATCTGAAAGGTATCCGAGCACTGGGACTTCATCTCTCTTTCCGCTCTTACCTTCCATCACCCCCTAATTGCACCTGAGCTAGTCCGTTGGAGGATGAGAGGCCATGTGGAAGAGAACCCAGACACCCGCCAACAGGCTGCTAGCTGCCATCACTGTGAAGGAAGCCATCCTAGCTTCACTCCAGCTAATTTTCCAGTTGATCACAGGCATGTGAGCAAGCACAGCGGCTCTCAGTCAACCTGGTTCATACAGAAGATCTCCTCAACCAACACACAGAACCATGAACTAAATAAAATCATTGCTGTTTTAAAAATAAATATATATAAATAAATTTTTGATTAGAGAAAATTAAATATGGACAGTTTAATTTTCTTTTAAATTATTTTAATGTCATTATGCATATTTATCTTTAAACAGGTATATATAATTATACATAATTGCATGAATAACCAAATTATTTATGTTTTAAGTACTTTTGCGCTTCACTGTTCCTATCTTCATTAGCCTGTATTCATCTTCATCTTCATAGCATGTCAGCAAAATGAACAACCTAATATATAGTCATACATTTTTATGCTCAACTAATCATATATATGCATATATTTTCATATAATATATGCACATATTTGTGTGTATATGTGCATATATACTTGTCATTTTGCTTTGTATTAAATGGGTTTTTATCATGCATACTTTTCTTAGTCTTTCACTTTCCACTCATACTTTCCTGTTGACATCACTTCAAGTCAACTTGTAATACTTAATTTCTTGTAATTAATGGCTGCGGAGTATTCCAAGATGTGAATATAATGTAATGGCAATATATTTAAGTGTCCCTCTATTGATAGGCAATTATATTGTTTCTGGAGGGTTTTATTTTGGGGGTGATTTTTTCTTTTCCTTTGACTTTCTATTATATTTGCTATTACAACGACTTTCATAAATACCATATATATTGTGCTTTGTACATGGACCTTAATCCCTATAGGAGATGTTTCCAGGAATGACATCACTGTCAACAGATTTATATCTAATGCATACATGCACATGCATTATAAAATGTTATTAAATACAGATTGTTGTTTTACATTTAAAAATAGTACTATGATTTTTAGTTCTAGAGTAAGAATGAGGATACATTAATATGATACATATATGTGCATAAATGTGAATGAAAAGATAATCCTGTTTTCAAGCTTTGCCAATTCAGTGATTACAAAATAATACTCTTTGTTACTGTAATCACTGTTTCACAAACTACTAGTGAAATTGGACATTTTTGTTTACTTGTTTGGCATTTGTATTTGCTTTTCTGTAAACTGGCAATATAGAGCAGCAATACACAATAGAATTTACAAAATAAGTAGAAATATTATATTAAATGTTTTAAGTGGCCACTTATGTTCACCAATTGTCATAGTGGGCTGTACAGATTTAGATTTTCAATCTGATTTTTAATTTTTTTCCTGTCATTTTTAAAGAATACATATTATAGAAATTAACAGTTTATTATCGCTCCTTTTTTAAATTGTACTTTAAGTTCTGGGATATATATACAGACCTGCAGATTTGCTACATAGGTATATACGTGTTATGGTGGTTTGCTGCAACTATCAATCTGTCATCTAGGTTTTAAGCCCCACATGCATTAGGTATTTCTCCTGATGTTATCCCTTCCCCTTGCCTCCCACCCCACCAACAGGCCCCCAGTATGTGATGTTCCCCTCCCTGTGTTCATGTGTTCTCATTATTCAACTCCCCCTTATGAGTGAGAACATGTGGTGTTTGGTTTTCTGTTCCTGTGTTAGTTTGCTGAGAATGATGGTTTCAAGCTTCATCCATGTCCTGCAAAGGACATGAACTCATTCTTTTTTATAGCTGCATAGTATTCCATGGTGTATATGAACCATATTTTCTTTTCCAGTCTATCATTGATGGGCACTTGGATTGGTTCCAAGTTTTTGCTATTGTAAATAGTGCTGCAAGAAACATATGTGTGCATGTGTCTTTATAGTAGAATGATTTATAATCTTCTGGGTGTATATACAGTAATGGGATTGCTGGGTCAAATGGTATTTCTGGTTCTAGATCCTGGGGAATCGCCACACTGTCTTCCACAATGGTTGAACTAAATTACACTCTCATCAACAGTGTAAAAGTGTTCCTATTTCTCCACATCCTTGTCATTATCTATTGTTTCCAGACTTTCTAATGATCACCATCCTAACTGGCATATTACCATCACTACATTTTTTAACACTTAGTTTTAAAATATTTATTATATTTTTAACTTGTGAAAGGGGTTAAAGTGATATTGTCAAATTTTTATCATTCCATTTTTAAATTTTCTTAAAAAACTTTGACATGATTCACATTTTTATAATACATTTAACAAATAGGGTGAAAAAGGAGATAATATCTTGATAGTGCTTTATTATTGTTCTTCAGCCATATAGACTATATTTTCAAACTTTGTTTGTATTTCAATATTTACTATTTTTAAAATGCTATAGTTTTCAAACATCTTCTTCCATTCTGTTTTTATTTTTTATTTTTAAAAACTAACATTTCTTTTTTTTATTATATTAATTTTTTTTATAACGGGGTTTCACCACATTGGCCAGGCAGATCTCGAACTCCTGACCTCGTGATCCACCCACCTCAGCCTCCCAAAGTGCTGGGATTACAGGCATGAGCCACTGGGCCCAGCAAAAACTAACATTTCTTGTTTGCCCACTTTAGTGGTTTGCATCTGGCTACTTTTACTAAAATGTAAACATTAATAACTTGTTAGGATTTTAGATGAAGCAATGTAACTATGATATGAAAATTCAATGTTTAGTTCCCCAAATGTCTTCTTTGGCAGTTATATCCTATATATACTAGGACATAGAGAATATAAAAACAACCTGTGGCCAGGTGCAGTGGCTCACATCTGTAATCCACTTTGGGTGTCCAAGGCAGGTGAATCATCTGAGATCAGGAGTTCAAGACCAGCCTGGCCAACATGGTGAAACCCCATCTCTACTAAAAGTAAAAAAAGTTACCTAGGCGTGGTGGCAGATGTCTGTAATCCCAGCTACTCAGGAGGCTAAGGCAGGAGAATCGCTTGAACCCTGGAGGCGGAGGTTGCAGTGAGCCAAGATTCAGCCATTGCATTTCAACCTGGACAACAAAGTGAGACTCTGTCTCAAAACAAAAAACAAAAAACAAAAACCTGTGATTATATTTCTTGACAAATCAAACCACCATATAAGCTAGAAACTCATGTAACAGATTGCCAGTACTATATTGAGGTTATATGGTGTAAAAAATATATTTTCAAACATACAACTGATCGGAAATCTTTTCTGTAGCATCATATAACTGGAAGTTTATGCAATGAAGGCAGAACAGATTCTGATTTAATCTCTTCTAACATACAGTGAATTTACATGATTTAGTCAGTTACGAAGAAGTCATATGTTTATTACAAAAAGAAGCCATAAAAATAGGATAGTTGTAATTTTTTTTCACACCAAGAATGGGATATGCGTTCACATATATGAATGCTTTCACATTGGTAGCTTTCACATATGCTACCAAGATTTTACTTGTGCAGAAGACACAATGTCACATTTTTTCTTTGAGAATGTAATTCATGGTTGATTTGACCACATAGTCTAGTTATACCATTTCACCCGAATAATTCTTCATTTATTTTGAGTTAATGGATTTTAACATTTATCTCACATTTCACTGTTGTTTCAATAACAAAATTAATTTTCTACTTGTAAAACTGATGCTTTCTTATGGCAGAAAATTTAGAAAATGTTAAAAAAGAAGTAAAAATTTAAAACTAGAATATAAATATGTGGAAAAAAACACAATAAAATAAGCCTCAACTTCCCCTTGCCCCTCACAGAGATACATTTTTTATTTATAGAAAGTAAACAGTGTAAACTATTTTAAAATGTTTAATAAATTATGATGTAACTGATATCTTTGGCAACACAGTTTTGTTTTGCTACATGGTATTTCACACACCGGCAAGCCAAAATGCCAAATCACTTTTCCACTGGTGCTGTCATTCACAGGTGATATATTGGTGGTTCTACCCATGTCAGCAGGTTGGAAATTGCAGTTCCTTAAACCTGAGTGTTAGGTATTTTAGAGCAATATGGATTGCAGACAAATGTAAGTTAAAGTGCTATTTGCCTAGAAAATTAAGATACTTCTAGAGCTGTTACTATTAAATTTACTATTAGAACTATTTTTAAATATTTTGTTAGAATAAAACATAATCTCTAAACTGTGCGTGTCTGAGTCAAAGGTTAATGTGTCAAAACTTCCGGGCGACACACTTATTCAGGTTCCTTTCAAGTCCCTTTACCTGTGTTTTCATTGTTAATTTTTTTTCTTAAAGTTGGTTGTATAAATAAATTAAGCTGCAGGCCCCATAAAACCAGGATCTACCTCTGGTATCAGTTAAATATTTTTTTCCCAACTTTTTAGCCTTAGAAAACAATGCTGTCAGTCAAAAGTCTAGACAGCATTGTTTTCTAAGGCAAACTATGAAAATATTAGTCTTCTCTGATAGAGCTGCATAAAACATCATAAGATGGCTAAATCTTTATATATCTTCTATTATATAAAAACAATTTATTAAACATACTATTTTTTTATCTACTTTGCTCCTTTTTGCTTAAAATTTTCTTTGAGGACATTTAAAAATTAAATAGGTAAAGCATTTGCATTGAGTATGCAAGCCCCACTTTTGCATTCATTTTCTCATTCATATGTTAATTATGGACATCTATGCTATATGAAACAAAATGCTAGACACGGTGCATGCCATTTGACCTATTAAATTACATGCCCCATTTGAGGGATCAGAAACTACTTTTCTAGCTCTATTGCCTGTATGTAGATTCTCTGAACTGTCTACTTGAGGTTTCCTTTTTTTTTTTTTTTTTTAACTGATTCTTATTTGCCTTCACTCAATTTTTTTTATTTCCTTCCTAATCCGGAGTTATTCTCTGGAATGAAAAAATTATATTAAACTCCTCCATAGTTTACAAATGCTTCTCTACATAATCGTGAGAGAAGTCTGAAAATGAATATGAAGTAAAAGTTGATTTGTGGCAACTAGAATGGCTGCTTTATGCACACAATCATTTACCTAACCAGTAAATAAGCAAGGCACGGTAATGTTTAGGAATGTGGGCTTTCAAGTTACATGGGGGGCAAAATCCTGGCTTTACTGATAACTACAAATTTGACCCTGGACAGGTTAAGTCCTTTAAATTTAGTTGCCACAGCTGTAAAATAACATAGGGGTGTGTGTGTGTGTGTGTGTGTGTGTGTGTGTGTAAAGTTGTAGAGAAAATACTTTTATGTTTTGGCACAACTATGCCTTTCTACACAGATTTTACTGAAACTTGAGATCTGAATTGAAAGCCAGTCTTTGGAGGCAATCTACAACTGTAAAGATAGTGAGAAGTCCAGATGCTCGCCCAATCCATGAGTTATACGTGAACAGTTCTAGGGAGGTGGCAGGGGAGCAGTGCTGAGGCTCAGGACAATGGAGATATCTCTTAATTGTGAAACTGAAGACATAGGACTTACCATGTTTCCAAAACAGACTTTCTCAGAAGGGAGAAGAGAGATAGTTGCCTTACTCCCTATTACAAGCAGATACAATTCATTTTCTTAATTCCTTGCTTACTATATGGACTTTGTGTGTTTAAGATGTTTGACCTGGCTTTAATCACAATATCCCTGGGATAAGAATGGAAGCATAGGGGAATCACACACTTGTTATTTGCTGTAAGTCATTAAAAAAATCTGTCTCTGATCCAAAAACCTTGTGGGTGCATTTAGGACAGAATCAATAAAGATGAACATTAAAAACCTACCAATTTGTTGTGATTATTAAATATTTTGATACATGACAATGTTATCACACTGGTACAAAGTGCTCAATTATTGTTTGCTACTATTATCACTGGCTTCTTTCAAGGTCCTGTGAGTGCAAGGTGCTTCCAGGTGCTATGTCACAGTACAACTGACAGAAAATTGAAAAAAATTACAGGATTAATAAAATTTGTCCACAGTCTTTATGTCATTTCAGAATGTATTCATGAGGACTCATAGAAAAATGTCTGTATTTCATTGATTTAAAGTGTCATTTTTATCCACTTATTTTCACAAACCTGGGTGCTTCTCTGAGACTGTAACATGGGTCATTTAATTGTTGGTTTCAGTATTTACAGGTATAGAGATGTTGAAAGCAAGTTAACTTAATTTCAGACCTTCATGTTACAGTTGCTTATGTCAATAACATATGCCAGCAAGAATAGCACCAACGTTTTCTTAAGATGTAGCTCAAATCATTAAAGTACAAAGGGAAAATATGGGACAGTCATGCACAGCTGTTGTTTAAACACGGAAAGAAATCACATTAGCAATCAGAACATTTTAACATCTAAAAATGGTTCCACGATAAATTTAAACACTTCTTTAAATACCCCAAGCCTTTGAAAGTGATAAAAGATAACTTAAACAAATGAACAATTAAGGGAACTTGGGGTCTGAATATAGATAATCACAGCTACACCAAAAAATAAATCCTCAACTTTTATTTGTAAATAAAATATTCAGTGCAGTTCTAACTTAAGCATACGAAGTAAAATAAAACTCAGTCTTCAATTTTACAACTGAGTTTCTAAATGTAATCTTAGCCCTATGGGAAATAACGTTTTTTCCCCTCAAGGATTGAATCTTGGCTGGTGCCGGTGCCAACACCGACGCTGGGACCACGCAGAGGCAGAAGTGGGAGGGTTTCTTGTCCTTGATGTTATAGCGCCCAGCTGGCATCTACTGAGACAGCCATTGTCTTCTCTAAGGGTTGGGTGATTTATCATTCTGGGGTGGACTTAGGATCTCTTGAGGATCTGTGCCTCTTTCTGCCTCCCTGGAGAGAGGGTGATTTCCTAATTCCATGCCACACTGCAACCGGGAAATTCTGTCCATCTTTCTGACTCTTACTTAATTGAACTCTACTTTAAGCTCTGAAAACTATTCTATTGCTCTTGTACACTGCTGGATTAAGGTGGAATATTTCAGGCTTCCTTTTGGTCCATCTTTCCGAATAGAAACCCATGCCATTCCTCTGTAAACTGTTCACCTCCACAGGACTCCATCCAAGGCGTTACACACATAAACAACCTCCATTCTCAGATTGCACAAACATTTTTGTCTGTTCCAGCTCTCCTTACTCCCTGCGTCCACTTCAGGGCTGTGTTTTTCACGGCTCTACGAGGTCTACACAATTCCCATTGGCCGCTGATTCCTTCCCTTCCATCAGCCCAGAGAATCATTAAATGGGTTGGGGGTGGAGTGGTGAAAAAAACTGCACATATTACCTCAAACCTATGAAAAGACACCTTTTTCTTCTTTTCTTCTATTTCTAACTTTCCTCCAGAAAAAGAATATAGTACTTTAGCTGGCTGCATGGTGAAAGGGGCATCGAGTCCTTTCTGCTCCTTTCTACTTTCAGCGCTTTCTATTTCAGGCCTTGACCTGAAAGAAAGAAGAAAGAAACAGGAGTGGAAACAAGTATCAGGGAGATTTGGGACATTAGAGAGATTTGGCATGACCCCCCAAACCTCACCATGTTACCTAATGCAATTTTCGTCCTCAGAATGTCACACAGAGAGATGGCTAATATTTCTGGGGCTTAGTGTGTTAAACATGGAAAATAGGATCCCATATTTTTAAAGAGCATTAAATAGATATTTAATATAGTATGCAAAATGTATTTCAAAATAGCTATAAATATTCAGTTAAAGTAGTAATACTGATCACTAATAATCATTAATTATAATAATATATCAATATGGGCTTATTAATTGTGATAAATGTATCAGACTAATGAAAGATGTCAATAACAGGTGAAACTGGGTGTGCAGTATACGGAAACTCATGGTACTATCTTTGCAGCTTTCCTGCAAATCTAAAATTATTTTGAAATTTAAAAAAAATATTTTTTAACTTATTTTCAAGAAAAAAGCGAATATGCATAAACTGAGAATTATTGTTCAACGTTTATGTATTGTGTACAAGACAGTACACCAAATGCACACTTTCCCATAATTGCATCAATGATAAGAAATAAGTTCACCACCAGAGAGGAGTTATGCTTTCATGCAGATTTAAGTTTGGATTTCAAATCAAAACTAAGGTTATTGACACAGTCAAAAGGGGCCCCTTTTAAGAGTTTGTAGGTGTGTTAGTCTACTTTATCCACTCCTGATAAAGATATACCCGAGGTAGGGAAATTTATGAAAGAAAGAAGTTCATTGGACTTACAGGTTCACAGGGCTGAAGAGGCCTCATAATTATGGTGGAAGGCAAGGAGGAACAAGTCATGTCTTAAATGGATGGCAGCAGGAAAAGAGATAAATACCTTGTACAGGGGAAACTCCTCTTTTTAAAACCATCAGATCTCATGAGACTTATTCGCTATCACATGAACAGCACAGGGAAAGACCTGCCTCCTTGATTCAATTACCTCCCACTGGGTCATTCCTACAACACATAGGAATTCAAGATGAGGTTTGGGTGGGGACACACCCAAACCATATCAGTAGGCATCTTTTTCAATTTCATTTCTCTTATATGAAAGGAAAAAATTCCATTGCCTTATTTTGTTTATATTGATCTATACAATCCTTTTCCTTTTTCCCATGCACTATAATATAAGAGCTTTAAAATGTGAACAGTAGTTGAGAGAAATAGTCCTCAGGTGAACCTGAGCCTCCCAGATGATGTGTCAAGTATCAGATGCCTGCTGTCAACCATGGACTCAGGGGACACTTCCCTTGAAGTCTCTTATGGTTTTTCTGTGATACCTTCCCAGAAAGCATGCATTTATTTCTCCTGTCAGCTAGAATCACAAGAGGTTTAAATTTGTGAATTAAACATGACTGATTTTTCTTTTCAGAAAAGATAAAAACTATGCTAAATAATTCTGCCATGTTTCATCTCTGGGAATTTAACAGGATCAAGTCCTGGGGAAGGAAATGAATTATAAATTTGGTAAAATGCCATTTGTTTTAGAATCTCTAATTAAATTCATTTGATTGTGAGGTTTTTATCTTCCCTAATTAAATAAGTGAATAGAAAGCTACACATATAAATTTATTATTATTCAGAGTTTTGTGCTTTAGGATAAATTGAAAATAAAATAAAATAGCTGTCTACAACCTCTAGTTTTACTAATGAAAATGAATCAGTTTTCTGGTTTCTGGTAGTTTTTTCCGTTCTGAAAATTGTTGTTTGATTATCCATTAATTGTTTGATCAATAAAATAATTAGAAATTTCACTTTGTTTTAACCAGAAATGTTAAAAATCTACCTCACTTAATTGGCAAATTGATGTGGCAGACATAAAACTTTACATTGCAATTTCCCACTATTAGCTTCACAGCATTTTTGTTTTCCAGACAGCTATTTTCAGAGGGTATTTTGTAACAGCAGAATCTTGACCTGTTTAGAAATAATTGTTTCAGCCAGTATTAGCTGACACTAACTAAATAAAGAAAAGAAGAAAGGTGAGGGGAAGAGAGGGAGTATGAATAAATAAATTTTAAAAAACAAGCTAATAAACTTTAAGAAACAGTGGCTGGAGATTCGCTGCGTCTTCGGCTACACATTCAAGAATTTAAAAAGAATTTATCAAGACTTGCATTTCAGGTCAGAATGTAGTAAATGTTTTCAGCACCTCGGACAGCAGGTGAAAAGGCCATTAATTCTGAGAGACAAGAAACAAACAAAAGAAAATCTATGAGTCCTTTAGATTTGTGTTTTGAGAAAGCTTCCAGGCTGTGGTGTAGGAAGAGAAAGCCCATCAGGCACACTGAGTTAAGGAGAGAGAGCTGAGAGACAAAGAAGACCATGGTGTCTGGGTGTTACAGAAAAGAATGTGGAGGAAGAAAGAGCCAGAAGGGCAGAAGTCCAGAAATCTGAGGAGAATTCCCATTGAGTGTTCATCTGATCAGCAAATGCATATGGGAAAAGGACTTGTGGCCAGGGAAATAAGCCATTAGGAAGAGTATTCGGAAGGGTAATAGAGCACTGCACTTACACAGGGTCGTCAGTGCCTGTTCACGACAGCCAGAATGGAAATCCCATGATTCATGGGACAGTGCATTGAGCTTGCAGAAGGGTCTTGCCTCACTAATGGAAAAAATTTGGCTTTAGACTCAGCATTGTCCTGTTCCTGCCCAAAAGTTATTAAAACCAATATCTGAAAGGATCAAACTGTTTATAAGCAACTTATGTCCCAGAACACAGGTCAATAATAGGAGTTTAAAATCCTCCAGCACTGAATAAGGTAAAATTCACAACTTCTGGGATCCAATAAAAAATTACCAAGCATGTAAAGAAGCAGACAAATATGTCTCATAATAGAGGGAAAATCTTTCAATCTTGACAGATGTGAAAATTAACAGACATTAAAGTAGTTATTATAACTGAATTCTATGTATTACAAAAGTTAAGTCCAGACAGAAAAGATATGAAAAAAAAAGCCAAACCAAAATTGCTACAAGCTGCAATGTCTACGATACAAAATGCATTGCATTATACTAAAGACAGATTAGACACTGTTAACAAAACAGAGAGCTTAATAGCTAGTGACAGAAATTATCCAAAATGAAACACAGAGATAAAAGGCAACTTTTTCCCCCATGTTAATCCTAAGTATACAGTAGAGTGGTATTAATTGCACATTGTTGTGCAACTATCACCTCTATCTCCATAACTTTATCAGCATCCCAAACTGAAAGTCTGTAATTATTAAATAGGAATACTTTATTCTTCTTATCTCTCTACCCACTGTTAACCACTATTCTACTTTCTCTCTCTATTAATTAGACTATTGTAGGCATCTCAGATGAGTGTAATCATAAATACTTATCCTTTTGTGTCTGCCTTATTTTACTTGGCATAGTGTCTTCGAGGTTCACACATATTGTAACTTTCATGAGAATGTCATTCATTTTTCAGGATCGAATATCAATGTTTGTACACAGCACATTTGGGTTATCTATTCACCTGTTCGTGGACACCTGGGTTGTTTCTACCTTTTGGCGGCTGTGTACAATGCTGCTATGAACATGAGTGTACAACTATATGTTTGAGTCCCTGCTTTTAGTTTTTTGGGGTATATGCCTCACAGTGAAATTGCTGGATTATGTGGTAATTCTATGTTTATACTTTTTAGGAGCTGCCATATTGTTTGCTACAGAGGCTACACCATTTTACATTCCCACCATATATACACAAGAATTTCAATTTCTCCACATCCTCATCAATACTTGGTGTTGCACATCTATTTGATGTCTTTTCAATGAATGATGCTAGAACAATTCAATATCTCCATAATTAATAACTTTAATCAATACTTCATACCAGGAACAGAATTATCTAAATTTAATCATAGATCAAAACATAAAATCTAACACTATAAAACTGTGGCTAGCATAATAATTGCCTCACAGGCCAAAAAATGCTTCTAGAAGCTGGAAATGACCGTCAGCTACCAGCCAGAAAGGAGTTGGGGATCTCAGTAATATAATTGTAAGGAATTGAGTTCTGCCCACAATTCAGTAAATAAGGAAACAGATTCTCTCCTACAGTCTCCAAAAAGAAACACCATCCTGCTGACTCCTTGATTTAGCTCAGTGAAATCCATGTTGAACTTCTAAATAATAAATAGATGTTACTTAAACTACCAAGCTTGTGTTCATGTGTCATGGTAACAGGAGAAAACTAATACATCATACGAGCCAGCAATCTTACTCCTGTATATTTATTTATCCAAGAAAAATGAAACACAATTTTTACAAATAACCTATACATGAATGTTTATAGTGGCTTCATTAGTAATTGTCAACAACTAGAAACAAATGTCCTTGAGCTGGGGGATGGGTAACAACTGTGGCATAGCCAAACAATAGAATACCATTCAGCAATGGAAAGGAGCAAAGAAACAGAGGGTGTGATTGTAAGGGGCCTTAGTTCATTTAAACGAGAAATTAGTTCTTTTTTCCTTTGAATAATCAGTGACACAGTAAAGTCAATGCTAAACAGATGAAATATTCTGGTGAGATATGAACTCTCCGCTACCTAGGTCGATTACATCAAAGGTAATTAATAACCTTTATTACTTATTGTTAAGAACTCTGAGCTCGGCTTGCAGTTTTAACGACGCAAAACAGAAAAGCTAAATTCTGGCTTTGCATTAGTAACATATTTGGTAACAAAGTTTCACAAACATTTTATTTCTTATGAATAACTGAGCCAACTCTGACAAAATTTAACACATGTCATTCCTTCTTTTCAGATTCATTATTTAAAGCTATTATAAATGAATGCAAAGAAACATTTCCTGTCTGTGTACCTTCTGCAACTTCTTTATCCATTTGGTCTTTGTCACCAACCTGCTTTATTCTGGGAATACCAAACCTTACAAAGAGTACAAAAGTACTCTTTTTCTCTTTTGTAAACAAAACCAGCATAACAGATTGCATACACAGCTATATGTCTCTGTCACTATAGCTTCTAAGATAGTCTCAACCATCAATAATAGTTATAACTTTTACCCAAATAACTCACGTATAGTTAACAAAATAAAACTGGTACTTAGATAATTGAGAATTTTCTGTAATATACTGTTACCAAAAAAAGCTGGTCACCTTAGCACTTCCTAAGAAATGCGGTTTACTTTGTATGGGTGACACCTGCTTGGTATAACAAAGCCAATACATAAAACCACAAGTGAGTATTAAGCAGTGTAGGTGTTATTTGATGGCCATAGAAATGAGAAGGCAGCCATGGCTCATAAATGAGCTTCTCGACTAGTGAGGGGTAAGGGGGTTAAAATGTAGGGCTTCTCTAATGAAGGAGTTGGACATTAAAAGCAAGAGAAATAATATTTGTGTCTTTTCTGGAAATGGGTAGTGAACTTCTTGGAGCTGGAGTGCTGCCTCCCTTTTTGTCCTTTTATGGCTTCTTTCAGTCATTGTCATGGTGACTGTCAACTGTGATGGCACTGGTGGGAGTGTCATTAAGCATGGAAATGAGATTATCATGAATCCTGAGGTCTTCTTGAAGTTGTTTGGTCAGCTATCTTGATTCTAATGAGTCTCAGCTAGTTTGGTTACAAAGGAAACTTTTGATCGCAGGTGTCTTGTTTCTTAAAGATAGGCAGGATAGAAATTCAGCTATGTCACATAGGCATGACATTGGGTAACAAGACCGTCATTTTACAGACTAGCATAACTTCTGACACTTATTACGCAACCCTCCACACCTCTGGATATCACATTTACACCATGTTTAGTGACATGACGCAAAGATAGAGTCACCTTTTAGTGGGTGTAAGAAAAAATGTATGTGAGCTTAAACAGTCCATGAGAAGCACTTCCTAAGAAACGTGGTTTACTTTGTTCCATCAGATGAGTCCAATGGGCTTCTTTGTTAAAATGCTAAAACTATTAATGTGTAATTTTAAAATATGCTTTAAAAATGACATTATAAAAATATGATGATCCGATAGAATATCATGTGAGCAAAAAAAAAGAGATAAATATATGTCAACAATTTATTAAATTCATTAATTAAGGGCACCAGTAAGATATTAGGACCAGCTCCAAAAGTAGTTGAGAAGCTAGATATAAATAGGCAATGAAAGGATAAGATTATTGGGTCAGATACAGAACTGATTAATGTCCCCAAAAGGCCATACGCACAATCTTCGAGGTTATCTCCAGAGAGAAATCATTTTTATCTCTACCAGACAAAACTCTACAAGTTGACATGTAACTTAGTGTAAGACCTTTAATCAATATGAAACACTGAATAGAATGGTGACTTGAACATTTCCCTGGCCTTCAGCTTCATATGACATTAAAAGAATGTACCACACACATTTTTTTTTGCAGCATTTTCACATTTTGGACAACACATGCATATTCATATCACTACCCCAGCAGCTGTTGAAAATTTACTTTCTTTGGAACCCTAATGGGATTTCTAAATATGTAAATAGCACAATCAAAAGATGCCTGAGCCTGTGAATCAGCAGAGCTCTTTCTCATACCTTTCCCCCATTCCACACCCACACACAAAAGTCTAGATCTTCCTATCAGCCTCAGTGTTTCTTCTCCAGGAAAACACAACCTAGTACAATAATAAGCATTGAATTAGATAAACTCAAGTCCTATATTTAATACTAACTAACCTCAAAATCCTTGGCAAATTATTTTATTCTCTAAATTTCAATGTAATTCTTTTCAATATAAACTTGATAATCCCTATCATATAGAGATTGTGAGGATAAATAAAATCCGCATTTGCTGTTCTTTCTGCAGGGAAAACTCTTTCCCCAGTTTTTTCATTGCTGGTCTCTCATTACTCTGTCTTTAGCCAAGTCATTTCTTGGTGAAATTAAATAAATCTTATAGAGTAGAATTTGCTGAGATTATGAAAACGTTCTGCATCTGTGCTGCCTAATACAGTAGCCACCAAGCTGATTTTTAAATGTTATTGCATGTTAATTCAGTAACCACACGGGATTAGTGATAACACACTGTACGGTGTGCGTTTTGAAAAAGGGCAGTAATTAGGAAGAACAAGAGAGCGTCATGGTTTAAACACCAGGCTATCAAATGAACGGTTAATTTGTAAAGTTCAGAGTTAAATAATTGAGGTAGAAAAGAAAACAGCAATTAGGTCACCTGATAGACACAGTTGAATATATAGAGTATGAGATCACATTCTCTTATTGAGTAGAAACTTTAAAAAAACTTAAGTCAAGCTCTACCTTTGGGGAGGGTACATGCCTGCTTCCTGGGAATTTTGTGAATTCCGTCTTCCAAAGTTCTTAGCTTGTCTGTATTTATGACTCCCCCTTTTCTTTCTTCTCTATCTCTCCTTTTTAGTTCCTTTGCCTGACTGCCTTTTTAAAAAATGTTTAGTCCCAAAATAACTTAATTGAATTCTTTGGACTTTGTTTTGTCATTCTCATTTTGCAGCTGCTAAGTATTAAATTGTCTCAGCCAGCTGAAGATGTCGAAACTGAAGGTTACATACAGTATTATTTAACTTGAATGTGTTAACAGTTCAGCTAAAATACTAAATTTACATTTTGGATAATTAACATAAACACAAAAGAGAAGTCACTTAAGAGTATGAAAAATAGGCCAGGCACGGTGGTTCATGCCTGAATACTAGCACTTTGGAAGGCTGAGACAGAATTACTTGAGCTTAGGTGTTCAAGACCAGCCTGGGCAAAATAGGGAGACCCTATCTCTACAAAAAATAAAAATATTAGCCGGGCATGCTGGTGCACAATTGTGGTACCAGCTACTCAGCTGGCTAAGGTGGGAGGATTTTTTGGGCCCAGAAGCTTGAGGCATAGTGAGCTATGATTGCACCACTGCACTCCAGCTTGGGTATCAGAGCAATATCCTGCCTCAATTTTTTAAAAAATGACATATACAAATCTTGGTTCCAGAAGTGGTCTTTATTTCAAACATTTTGTTTGTTTTCCTCCATAAAACATTCAAATGTGAGATCAAATATTTTGATTCTTGATTCTTCATTTGGAAAAATGCAGACCCCTCATCCACAGGTGTGATGTGGTTATATCGCAACTTACCCTGTTAGTAAAGTATAAGATTTATAATTCATTTTATTTTAGGTATTTACATATAGAAATAAATTATGAGAATTTGTGTTATTAGAATTCAAATATTTCTGGGGAACACACTTAAGCAGTATTTACATCCATTTAAGAGCCTTGATAAAAAGAGAAAAATTCGGTTGCCTGTCATTTAAGAAAATGTAACATCATAAAGATACAGCCTAAAATGTCTTTAGTCAAAGCAGTGCCACATTCATTTCTTTACTCACCATCTACTGATTGGGTGATCACCAGGCATCAGAGACCCTGTTATGTGCTGGGAATGCTGCAAAGGACAAAATAGTATTTATTTAGATGCCTATTTAATTTACTTACTTCTTTATTATTTAAAACGTATGTTTGTTACAGCTCTTCTTACAATAGCAAAGACCTGGAACCAACCCAAATGCCCATCAATGATAGGCTGGACAAAGAAAATGTGGCACATATACACCACAGAACACTATGCAGCCATAAAAAATGATACGTTCATGTCCTTTGTACAGACATGGATGAATCTAGAAACCATCATTCTCAGCAAACTGACACAAGAACAGAAAACCAAACACCACATGTTCTCACTCACAGGTGGGTGATGAACGATGAGAACACGGGCGCAGGGAAGGGAACAACACTCACTGGGCTGGGTGGGGAGTGCATGGGGTGGGGAGAGACAGCAGGCGCAGGGAGGATGGGGAAGGATAATACAGGGAGAAATGCCTGATGCAGGCAATGGGATGGTGGGGGAATAGAGACAGCAAACCACCATGGCATGTATGTACCTATGCAGCAATCCCGCAGGATGCAGGCTGTGCACATGTACCCCAGAGCCGAAAGCACCATAACAAAAAAAATCACCTGGAATTTATTAAATGAATCATGTTTCTTAGAAACATAGAAACACATTCCTCCTCTTGCCCACATGGTATAGCAGCAACCTGTTTTGATTTTTTTGTCACCCCAGCCCTTGATTTTTTTTTTTAAAAAGAGGGGAAGAAAGTGGTCATTTGTACAAAAAGAGGGGACAAAAGTGGTCATTTGTACAAAAGATGCTTTCTTCTTATAAGGCAAAAGAATGTAATTGCTTTAATCATTGCATGGAATTGAAAATACATGTGGAAAGTTAAATATGGATGCTGAGTATACAAAATGGTGGATTGTGCTGGCTATTTGGATAGTATGCTATTATCTTTGAAACCACCTTTGCAAAATCATAATAGAAATATGACACAGTTGATTCCATCTTGCTTCTAACCTTGACACTTCCCTTGGTCATTTCTGGGCGTGGGCCAAGCTAACTTTGGAAGAAATTTAGTTTGTAGTTTAATAACAGGCCTTCCCCCAAATTAAACCATCCTTATAAAGCTAATGAAAGGTCTCCAGGTTAGGAGGATTAGAGGGAAATGACTGCCTGCCGTTGTTCCAGAGGTCACAAGATTTGCAGCTTCCTTAATTACACCTCTCGAAAACATCACTACTGTAGAACCTAAGATTGGCCATTTGAGATGTCTTTTCAGGCCTTTGCCTTTCTGGCCACCAGATGGCCCCACTGGGACCAGCAACTCCTCTGGGGGTTCCTACTTAGGAGCTCACTCAGCACCCAAGAACTGCTTTTCACACCCCTACGATTGCATCCCCAACCAATCAGCATTCTCCCTTCCCTAGACTCCTGCCCACCAAACTATCCCTGAAAAACCTTGGCCTCAGAATTTTCAGGGAGATCTACTTGAGTATTAACTCCACCTCCCAGGTAGTGTGGCAGGCTGTACATAAATTAAACTCTTCCTTTACTGCAATGCCATAGTCTCAGCCCATTGACTTTGTGCAGCAGGCAGGAAGGACCCCACAGATAATTACAACCTCTCCCTCAAACCATCTCTCTATTCTCTGCTCTGCGATGCTGGGGGTGAACTGCAAACTATGCTTGGTTGCCAGCAAGCTTTCTGTCAATGTATGCTGACGGGGTGCTAGGGAGAGAGTGGGAGGCAGGAGGCATAGGAGGGCTTGCTGCTTCCTAGGTCTTATTTTTCCTACCAGGTTTGCCCCAGTCATGACCCTTCCCTTTGGAAGCATTTTTGGGTTTTAATAGCAGCTGGTTCTATTTCCAGATATCTTCCTTAATGCCAGAATTGGCTTCTAGGCTGGTGCTGGTATTTCTGAAAATACCAGCACCAGCCTAGAGGTACCTCTCTTTCCTTGGAATTCTGGGTTCCAATTCTGTGACGCTTGTCTGAGAGACTGAGGCTCCAAAAGCTGTTCAGAAGCCCTTCTCCTCAAACGTGTCAGTCCCAGCTTGGCAAAGCCTCCTCCAAGCTCAAAACATTCCAGCACCAGCCAGGCAATATCTCACCTAAGACATTGCAGACTCAGTTCACAGGACGCTTCAGCCAATGTTGTAGGTTCTAATCCCAAGCTGATTCTTCTTTTCCCAGCTCTTAAAGTAATGTCTCACTCCAATAATGTCTCACTCACCAGTTCCTTTAAGTCTTCTGGTCCTCTCATACCTGTTTAGCCAATATCCTGTATTAAATTCTCTCTGATTGAAAAAAAAAAAAAAAAAAAAAAAACTATTTGGCTTTCTGTGGAAACCAGAAACTTAATCTTGACTCCAAGCTCTCAGTTTGAAGCTCATTCGTTAAAGCAATATTCAATCAGAAACACATCTCAGTTATACTGATTACCCTTACTAACACTAAAATTCATCATAATTTTTCTGGTATTCTCTTTGGAAATAATACCGAGTTATGTTAGTAGAAATTATGTTAGTAGAAATTATGGGCCAGCAGATGAGCTTTTTCTTGGATTGTGGACAGCAGATAGATAAGTAACATTTTTTCTTAGAACCAAATAGATTTCTAACAATAATGTAAGCTTGATATCATATTGAGTTTTAAAAAAGAAAAAACAGTGAGACATTGCCTAAATTTAGTACCATATGAAGTAGACCTTTAATTTTTTTTTCATTAAGTTTTATTTTAAGTTCCAGGGTACATGTGTAGTATGTGCAGGTTTGTTACTTAGGTAAGTATGTGCCATGGTGATTTGCTGCACAGATCAACCCATCACCTAGGTATTAAGCTCAGCATCTGCTAGCTATTATTCCTGAGGCTCTCCCTCCCCACATGCCTCTGACATGCCCCAGGGTGTTGTTCCCCCAACTCCCTATATGTCCATGTGTTCTTATCATTCAGCTCCCACTTATAAGTGAGAGCATGCAGTGTTTGGTTTTCTGTTACTGCATTAGTTTGCTGAGGATGGCTCCCAGCATCATCCATGTCCCTGCAAAAGACATGATCTCATTCCTTTTTATGGCTGCCTAGTATTCCATGGTATACACATACCACGCTTTCTTTATCCCATCTATCATTGATGGTTATTTGAGTTGATTCCATGTCTTTGCCATTGTGGATGGTGCTGCAATGAACATACCTGTGCATGTATCTTTATAATAGAATGATTTATATTATTTTGGGTATATATCCAGTAATGGGACAGGTGGGTCAAATGGTATTTCTGCTTCTAAATCTTTGAGGAATTGCCACACTGTCTTACACGATGGTTTAACTAATTCACAGTCCCGCCAATAGTTTAAAAGCGTTCCTTTTTCTCCACAACCTTGCCAGCATCCGTTGCTTCTTGACTTTTAAATCACCACCATTTTGGCTGGTGTGAAATGTTATAGCCCTGTGGTTTTGACTGGCATTTCTCTAATGATCAGTGATGTTGAGCTTTGTGTCCCATATGTTTGTTGGCTGTATGAATGTCCTTTTTTGAGAAGTATGTGTTCATTAGACCTTTACTTTAGAGAATACAGAAAGCTAGGAGCACTGAATTCAGGGATCTAGAGGAACAGGATCATGAGATGACCAAGTTTCCTGAGATGAATGAGGATGCTCTAAGTTAGTGACTCATTGAAATGAATCTATGTTACTGTGAGAGGAAATTGAATTTGGGACCCCAAATTCATTTAATCGAAGGGAAAAGTCAAGCTGGAAACTGGGTCATACAAACGTGCTTCCCAATTTTAGTTCCTAAATAAGATGGCTGTAAGATAAAAAGCTACATGCCTCCCCCATATTTTGCCCACAAGGAAATTCCGATTGAGCTGTTAAAATTTCATCATGACAATGCAAATTGATAGCTCATCTTTACAGGTGCAGTCACCCTTGGTCCACCAGACACAAATGCATATCTGATTACTCCCCTGCCCCATTTTGTCTACATCATCTTACATAAAAAATGCATATTTGCTGAGCCAGATAGAAGCATGAATGACTATATTCTCTACCCCCATCTTACATGAAAATTGTATACTTCTCAATATCCTGCCCTTTACTGTTTAAATTTGGAACCCTCAAAATCATCTTTGGAGAAAGGCATAAACCTGTCTCCCGGGTGCATCTTTAACTTTGGCAAATTAATCTCCTAAAATGGTTGAGACTTGTCTCATCATTTTTCCCAACGGACATTACTGTAGGGCTTGTTCCATCCCCCCAAGTTGCTTTATCTTCTGAGGAGAATACTTAGGCAGCTTTGTATTAATAATATTATATCTATAGCACACAGAACTTTATTTTCTATAATTCAGCTTAATTTATGACTCCACCTTCAGTTGTTCCTGATTCAAGATATTTGGATTGTGACACATTTCAAATATCTTATGTTAATGCCAAGCTCCTTATTCCATTTTGTGTTGCTATGGAGGACAACTTGAAGCTGGGTAACTCATAAAGAAAAGGTTTGTTTGGCTCACAATTCCGATGTCTGGAGAAATTCAAGACTGGCCATCTCATGAGGGTCTCAGGCTGCTTCCACTCATGGTGAAAAGCAAAAGGGAGTTAGTGGGTGGTAGAGAAAGAGAGAGCAAGTGAGGGAGAGAGAGAGAGAGAGAGAGAGAAAGCGGGGGAAAGCAATGGAGGTGTCAGTTTCTTTATAACAAGAAGCTTTCTCCTGAGAACTCATTGAGTGAGAACTAACTCCCCTCTCCCCAGGGAGGTTATTAATCTATTTATGAGACATCCACCCCCAGGACCCAAACAAACGCCTCCCATAAGGCACCACTTTCAACAATAGGATCAAATTTCAACATGAGGTTTGCAGGGGACAAACTTCCAAACTCTAGCACTGAAACATGGCAGTCAGAGCATGTGCTCAATCGCTGGTCTACAGATTCCCGAAGAGCTCTGTGGTGCCTGCTGGTGTGGTCCATTCAAGCTCCCTGCAGCATTGTTGGGCCACAGAAGTCTCTAATGAGGCAGCTGGGCAGGGCCATGGGCATACCGCTGAGGCGCTTCTTTCAAAGCTATGCGTTCTCTCCATGGCTCTGTCAGGACACAGAGATACCGCTCATGTCTCCTCCCTAGACTCAGAGAATGTCTTTGAGTGTGTGCAGTCTTTACACTTTTATTGTTTGTATGAAGCATCCTCAAAAGTGTATCAGTTCTCTGTATCTTAGATTATCAGAGTTAAAAGGGCCAGTAAAGTTGAATTCCATCATTCACCATGTTCTTCAATTGTATGTATTATACTAATACAAACATTGAAAAATAAATCTCTGATATAAGAATCTTGTGACACCTTTGAGGTAAGTGTTTCTCTAACTGGAGTGATTCAACATTGGTGGTTTAGGATTTTTTTTAAAAAACTATCATTTAAGTGAGCACTAAAAATATGCTTCTGAGAGCCACATGAGACTTCAGGGTTCAAGTTTGCTTTTGTTTTTATTAATCTTATTTGCCACCATCACTTATTTTAGTTTTAATGAACATGAATTTGTTAGTTAATGCTGCTTAACTTTGAAGAGTTTATGAGGGAGAAAAATTCATAAAGGGAATATAAAGAAAGATAAATTTTGTTTCTAATATTTAAATGATTAAAAAAATGAGGAATTTAAGATGTCTTACCTAACAATGCACAATATTTTCACCAAATAATCTCCACTCCCTGCCAACTGAAACAAGTTTTACAGTGTTTATAGTAACAGATCATTGGTCTTCTTGAAAACCCCAAAACTGATTTCTATCACATCTTTAGGGGCTTGGTTTTAAAACCGCGACCCATATAACAATTTATAATTACAAAAAAATTATGGAGAAATTCACAAGAATTTTACAAGGTTGCAATACATCCATCACCAACAACAGGCATTAAAGTGAGACTTTCTACATTCTCTGAGACTTAGGTACTCATACAGGGTTGTAGCAAGAGTGAAACCAAAACCAACAACTTACTGAATCCATTTTCAACATTTACATCACTTTCTGCTTTGGATTTTGCAGTTGTCTGAAGCACCACTGCATCTTGTGGATACAGAGAAGCAGGGAATATGGGATGGCAGGTCACAGTGCAACCTCACGTTTTGTTTATCACTGCAGCTGTGAGCTGTTAACAGCTGTCAGCCCATGGAGGGGCCTTGTGGCAGCCAGGACACCTCTTAGACCCGCTGCAAGGTGTAGCAAATTGGCAGTGAAGTAGCATCCTCAGCAGAGATTGGCTCATGTCAACTGGAATAATTGGTGCAAACAGGCTTTCGGTGAAAAACTACTTCACTTAGAGGAATAAACTACTTGCCTCTTGCATTGGATTAAGTTATTTTTCTCCCTGGCTGACATATCTCTAATTCCACTTCCATACTCTGCCAATCTAATTATTTTAGCACAAGTACACACATGTTTATCAGAACTCTGGTTAGGTTCTGATACTGAATTTTTGTGGTATTTCATTCCTAAATCTTATATCAGAGGGTTTCTTGGATCACCTGTTCCAATATAATCTATTAATCAGTGGTTCCTCTTACCTTTCATTAACATTTTAATGATTTTATTCTTGTCCAAGAATGTGCTTCAATTTCTTCCTTCCGCTCTCTTCTTAATCTTCTGTTTACAATAAATCTCCATTTCTTTACCTGCAAAGTAGAGGTAGCTGGATTAAATACTAATGGATTTTATGAACTTGTCAATAACAAAAATAACTCAATAAGAATTTGGTTTTCTAGTATCTTAGAGTGATTTACTTTAAGAATTGGTCTAAGACACCAGATTGAAACTTTATAAAAATAATCCTTGGGAAAATATTCTCATATGTTTACTATGCAAAAGTTCTAAAGCGTGGGTTATCATAGCCATGTTCTCTTGTCTGCTAATTCATATGCGATTTTGGCTTCAGAAAATATATAATTAACTTTACTTCCCAAAATACAGTTTTGGATAGTCCTGAATTAGTGTCTTGATATGTGATAGGTACTTTTATTATATAGGATAGGTTACATCAATAAGGTAGAAAATTAGGAGCCATTTAGTATGTAAGGGGAAAATCTAAGCAAGTTGAAAATATGTACATTTACAAGATTTGAAACTGCTCTCAAATTTCCAGACCATTTAATTTATTTTATCTCTTCCAGGGGTAATTTTTTTTTTTTTTTTTAGCATTTCCCTCTTACCATGACAATATAAGTGCAGCTCTGGGTCATTCTAAGTGTGTTTGCTGCTTTTGCAGGTGCCTAAGGATTGCGCAGGTGCAGCTTGTCTGTGTTCACGTCTTCCTTACACGCTACCTGGGTCCTGGCTGCATGGACAGCGCGGCCTAACATGTGTCTCCCATTGCACGCAGGTCACCCCCAGTTGCCCATCTGTGAGCAGATGGTGTGCAGCTGGATGGCCCCCAATGTCCTCTCTCTTTTATTGGACTTGACATTTTAAAGTTGTTTCTTTTTTCTCTTAAACATTTTTCACCCACTGTAAGCAAATGCCTCTCTCCATTCCACATCACTGCTGCCAGAATCTGTCATAAAGATTTAGAGAAAAGATGGAATTTCAATGTTGCGCGACCACAAGCCCCCTGCTGCACCTTCTTCCGTGGGAGTGCTCCTGCCCAGTGATTTCACAGACCTGTTTTGACACAGTGAAAGCCTAACAAGGAAAAGCTATTGCTTTCTGAAAAGCTGGTGATTTTCTCCCAGTGAGATCTCAGCAGTGCTGTACAAATTAGAAGACAAACACCTTCTTCTTTAGAACCTTACAGAGTGATTACTAGGCTATACATTTATATGCAAACACAGAAGTCATTTTACTTTCTAATGTAACATCTAAGCCCCAGTGTTTGGGAAATGATGCATGCTTTACTAAAAAACAAGTGTCAGTGCATTTAGGTAAAGGATAATGAAGTTTAATTTTAGAGTGTATGCATTTTGAACTATTAATAATAGAACCAAAATTGAGATAGGACTTCTTGATATCAGCCAGTTTGCAAGTTAAAGGTTAATTTTCAATATGATCTGAGCTAAAAAACTTCCATTCTAAATGCCAGGTAAATACAACATATTTTGATCTTTATTCTGTAACCGTCTTATAATATGCTAAGGGAATTATTAGTGCTATTTCCAGGCACATCACTACATCAATCACAGCAGTACACACAGGGAGAGACAAAAGCCCAGGACCTTAATATACACAATAACAGGAAACAAATATTTTAATATTTATAGAAATATTAGGGCCTTTGCCAAGCAATATTTCTGAATATTTTATGTTAATGGAATGCCTGCTTCTAACTTACTAAGTATGACATCATAATTTTAAATGTTTAATTTTACATCTGATAAGTAAAATATTTATTTATGATATATAGGAATATAGTATACAATAAGCTGGGCACAGTGGCTCACGCCTGTAATCTCAGCACTTTGGGAGGCTGAGGCTGGCGGATTACAAGGTCAGGGGTTCGAGATCAGCCTGACTAACATGGTGAAACCCGGTCTCTACTTAAAAATACAAAAATTAGCCAGGTGCGGTGGTGCACACCTATAATCCCAGCTAGTTGGGAGGCCGAGGCAGGAGAATTGCTTGAACCTGGGAGGCAGGGGATGCGTGAGTGGAGAGCAGGCTACTGTACTCCAGCCTGGGCAACAGACCGAGACTCTGTCTCAAAAAAAAAAAAAGAAAGAAAGAAAGAAAGTATACAGCAAAAGTGCTGGTATCTGCTTTCATTTTGGATCTAAAATAGTCATTTTTTCTGAAATGCTCAAGTCAACTTCAAAGTCATTTTCACAGGTTTCAAATGCTTAACAATGATAATTATTCTACCTAAAAGATATATTGTATTGTCTGTATGGAAAATGCTCAAATAGAATTTTCCTTATGTGTTTTCATTTGAATGGACATCCAAAAAAGCTGAAAATATAAAAATGTCATGTCCCTCATATGAAGTTTTCTAGTTCGAAGATGTGTCTTCAAAAATATAAGTAATCTTGATGAAAATAGCATTTGTGTTCTTAACAGCAATCGTTTACTTAACAAGTGCCCTTGGAGCTGAGACTTGGTATAGCTTTTCCCTGACACATAAATCAAATCTCACACATCAATCAAATGATATTAGAAGCATTTAGTTCGTTTATTCAATTTCTCTATGTAAGATTACCAAGGAGGGAGGAGCATGTGCCTGTTGCTGGGAAGTATTTAAATCTTTTCGCAGCCGCTCACCATCTTCCCACAGGTGACAGCTGCTTCAGGTGCTTACTGCCATCCTCATCTCAAACCTTCCTATGCTCTTCTACTTTTATAATCACTCCCTAAGCCTCCCTTTAGCCTGGCATCTTCTTTAGATTCTATCTGTAGACTCCTGCCTGGCTGTTTCACATCAACCTATAATTCTAGATCCAAGATGCCATTCAGAATTTGAATCAGTAAGCTTGAAATGAGGAAGGGCTATGAGAATATTTGTATCGTATGTGTGTGCTGTCTATAGTACAAATAGATAGCTGTTGATAGGTGTCACACAGACATGTATTTCCTCTCCGAAGCACTTCCTTTCCCCCAAAATAAATCACCCGTTCCTCAGCTCCCAGACTGCTACACACACGTGACAGCCACCCCTTACACTGGATAACGATGCTGCCAATGTAAGCTAATTGTGACACATTTTACCCCAGTAATTCTCCACTGGTGACAGTATTAACCTCAAAGAGCATTTGGCAATCTTTGTGTCTGGTCTGTTGGTTGGTAGGTTCTTATCCACAAAGGTTAAATTTTTTTTAATTAAAAATAAATAATCAAAATAAAATACTATCACTCTATGTTTCCTTTCCAGTAGTCAAACACGGTCATGCTTGAATGGAAATTTCTGCCCACCTCACTGAAGATTATATAACACATAAAACCAGCCCAACGAAATACCACACAGAGGGTATTTGTGGTATACCTAAATGGGGGAGGGGGTGAAGGAATCTAAATCTCTAAATGTATTCATTTCCCAGGGCTGCTGTAGCAGAGTATCAAACAGGTGGCTCAAAACAGTGACTGTTTTCTCATAGTTCTGGAGACCAGGTGTCTGAATTTAAGGTGTCAACAGGGCCATGCTCTCCCTGAGGCCTCTAAGAGGATCCTTCCTCACCTCCCTAACTGCCATGGTGGCCATCAACCCTGGCTTGTAGATGCAGCACTCTAGTAACATGGCCATCTCTTCCCTCTGTGTCTTACTTTGTCTTCCCTGTGTGTGTGTCTGTCTTTGTATCTAGATTTTCCTTCTTTGTTAGGACACCAGTCATACTGGATTAGGACTCAACCTAATGACCTCATTTTAATGTGATAATCTCTGGAAAGATCCTATTTCCAAATAAGGTTGCACTGTGACATACTGAGGGTCAGAAATTCAATACATCATTTTTGGATACTTTTTTATCTTCAAAAAAAGATTTTTGGCTGGGCACGGTGGCTCACGCCTGTAATCTCAGCATTTTGGGAGGCCAAAGCAGGCAGATCATGAGAGATCATCCTGGACTACATGGTGAAACCCTATCTCTACTAAAAACACAAAACTTAGCGTGGTGGCAGGTACCTGTAGTCCCAGATACTCAGGAAGCTGAGGCAGGTGAATCGCTTGAACCTAGGAGGTGGAGGTTGCAGTGAGCCGAGATCAGGCCACTGCACTCCAGCCTGGCAACAGAGTGAGACTCTGTCTCAAAAAAAAAGAAAAAAGAAAAAAAAAGATTTCTATTTTTAAATGGAAAACCTTATATATTTTTCAATTACATTTTAAATTATCTTATTATTGTTAATAATTTTAACTGATCTCAGAAGACAAAACTTATGAAATATTCTTTTGTCCTATCTGACTTCCTTGTATACAGGGATTGAGGGCATCCCTGTAAAGTAAAACCCAAAAATTACAAAAGCAAAATGAAGTCATATTCCAACTGTGAGATTTAATTTTCTGTTTCAACTTGACTAGGCTTAGGGTGTCCGATTGCTGGTAAAACATGATGTGATTTCTGGGTGTGTCTGTAAGAGTGTTTTGGGAAGAGATTTACACACTGTCACGAATGTGGGCGGGCATTGTCCAGTCCATTGAGGGCCCAGATAGAACAAGAAGGGGAAAGAAAGGTGAATTTTCTCTCTCTTCTTGCATTGAGACATCATCTTCTTCTGCCCTGGGATTCTGTCTCCTCTGGTTCTCAGGCTTTTAAACTTGCACTAAATTACATTACCAGCTTTACAGGGCCTCCAGCTTGCAGACAGCATATTATGAGATTTAGCCTCCATAAATGCATAAGCTAATTCCTATAATAAAGCCATCCCTTCAGCTCTCTCTCTCTTTCTCAAACTTTCTCTGTTTCTCACTCACTCTCAATTATATTTATATAAATATAATTAACATACAAATATATTTTGTATATAATTAATTACACACACACACACACACACACACACACACACATATATATATATGATTGACAGTTTTCCAGATCTTTGGATTAAACAAATCCAGAGGTTCAAAAAGCCTAATGAATTACAGACAAAATAGTAAAAATCATGACACATTTTTAATACAACACAAAGACAAAGAGGAACTTACATATGTTTTCTTGTTTTATCCATTGGTTTAATATTTTTTGCTGTTTAGCTCATTGATTTTCTTCTTAAAGATAATGTATTTTGTTTACTAACTGAATGTCTCCATTTAAGCATTTCACAAGAATTATTGAATCAAAATTTTTATGCTGTCAATTTGGATATTTTCCTTTCATAGAAAATAAATGTTTTCTCTGACTCTACCTTCATTTTTTAAACCAACATCTAAAATGGCACTTATTGATTTTATCTAGGATTGTAAACTACCACTGTGAACAACATAAATGATTTTGTTAAGCTTGTTGCCTTTACCATTCTATTTTGTCATTATAATTGACAATAAAAACTTTGATATTTATTATTTCCACAGTCATGACTGATATGTTTTCTTGTATTATATTAGTAATTTTGACATCTTTCAAATGGCTCAGACTTCAAGTACTGTTTTCAGGACTACTCCTAGAAGCTAAGTTTTATGAATCCTAAATATCTGCGATGGGCATGGACATTTTGGTTCAAATATCTCCCACTCAGCAATTTTGGATATCATGTTATCTCTCCAGTCTGTTACATAACTATGAAGAAACCTATAGCCACTTTAAATTTGTACTACTCTGTTGGTTCTATTATTAAAGATATTAATGTCAGTAAAATGATCACCCAGTTACAACCAGGTGCAAATAATTTCTTTATTTTGTCTTCAACCTTGATAAGCCCTCCGCTTCTAAAAAGTCAGATGGTAATGTTTTCCTCAACATAAAATGCTTTGGTCCTCTATATACTTGATTACATCTTTTCCTTCAGTTTTTTCATGTTTTTCCTTATATATCATAGAAGGATATATTACACATTTAATATCTTTTCTCCTTTCTTATAACTTTCATCTACTTATTCTTTTCTCTCCTCTTTGTGATTGGTTTACAAATATGTTCTTTA